GCTGCAGCCGTTGTGAAATGTAAAATGATTTTCGCCCTTTTCCACACGGGAACAACTGTTCAGAAGGAACAGTGCATTCGGCCACTGCAGATTTAATCAGCCGCTTCGTGTCCATCCCTGCGAGGCAAGATCCTCCAACTGGGGCCAAACCTCTCATGCACCAAGCACAGGCTCAGGAAAACACAGGGAGATTCCATCCCGTTCAGTAAACTTCAGAGCAACATTGACACAATCTCCAAGTGAGTGGAACTTACTCTGAACCTCACTTGGGAAAGGTCATTTGATACAACGAGTGGAAACCTGTTCCTTCTGAACAGTTGTTCCCGTGTGGAAAAGGGCGAAAATCATTTTACATTTCACAACGGCTGCAGCTAATTCTTCTTGACCTTCGAATCTTTTTAACCGAACTGTGACAATCCAGTCCCCAGATGCGAAGCTGCAGAATTTGCTGATGTACCGAACAAACAAAGTGCTGAATGTATTGAGTGAGACTGGGCAGACAGACACGCATTTCACACAGCCTGTAACAGAAATGACTGGGTTTATTGAAGCAGATTCACCGTCTCTCAGAGTGACTGGCAGTCGCATGGGCAACTCAAGGATGAGGGCACCGACATTAAAATATGAATTTTGAACGTTAAATTCCGGAACAAGCGCTGAAAATGGATTATAATGGTCCGAAGGAGTAACAGCTGAAAATTGGAAGATGTAACTGATGTTATTTGTGATTGAGAGGAATGAACTGGAAACTTGTGCTTTTCCAGGTGGATCATCTTTGGCACATTGAAATTAGATTGCAAGGGATTTGGCTCAGTGTGAAATGGGAGAATAAGTACCTACCAATTAAGCCCGGCTCGATCAGTCGCTGGAGCATGAGACTCTTAATCTCAGGGTCGTGGGTTCGAGCCCCGAGCTGGGCGTCTTCGCTTCTTACAACTTTACTTTCTGAGGTGAAGGCCAGCTATTCAGTCCTCCAGCATTCATTAGGGAAACCAACAGCTTTCGCTGTGCCGAAAACATGGTTTCTCTCCTGCTGCTTTGATTAAGATACTGGTTTCCTGTTTCAGAGTGCAAATTGTTTCCACTTCACTGGAAGTCCCAGAGATCAGCTTGTCGGTGCAGCCGCTTGTATAATAAATGACCAGACTTTTACAGGGGCAAACCCAACTCCAATCCTGCACCAACAAGACTGTTCAGAGTCACAGAATGAGAATGGTCACTTCCTGGGCGGCTCCATGT